GTAAACAAATGGACTTTTACTGCCTAAAAAATTCCATAATTGTATGTATATGCACAATATTTTCAAAATTGTATAGTAGCACAATATCACTGTGAGATATTTCATCAATATATGTGCTTGTATGTGACAGATACAAAAAAGATGAATACCTGAAAAAGGACTTGTTGAACAAAAATTCATCAAAAACGCTAACATTGTTTTAAATTCTGGATCATTTTTGGAAAGGGGGGGGGGGATTTTTTTGTATTGCTGACAAAATTTAATATTATGAACAAGAATTTATAACCGGGAACAATTTGAAAATCCAAAAAATAAAAAAATGCAAATGAAAACATTTTTGAAAACTTCTAATAGTTTTTTATACTGTGACCAAAATTTGAAACTTCAAACTATTTTCGAAAAATCTGATTTGTTAAAAAATATTCTGAACTAGTTTTGAAAGCGCTAACAAATGTTGAATACTTTAAACATTATTTTACAATTTATAATAAACAGAAAAGGAAGAAAATAAAAAAGAAAAAGAAAAGAAATTATGGTTTAAAACCATGCGCAAAAAAATACTACTGTTTTCGCAAATACTACTGCCAGCTTAATTCGCTAGCACACGCGTTTTCAGAAAATGTGTTCGAAACTTGGCTGCATGCATTCTTCAAATTCTGTTTGCACTTTTTATATTCCCTTACATTGTTTTGAATACTTTTTATAAAACCGTGGACATATTTTGTAGAAACGAACCTTTCTTTTTTAATCTAGAACATTTTTTGAGTCGACGAACGTTTAAAAAAAAACTCATGAACATTTCATAAATTCACGAATTTTTTTAAAAGCCAAGAACGCACATACTAATATAGTATGCATCACGTCATAAACACGATCTTGCGCTTGTTCCAGTGGCTTGCTGGAGCGGATATGTGCCACGGTGTCCTGGTTCGAATCCCAGAGCCCGCGCTATTTTCCTTTTTTTCCTCTTTTTCACGGCCCACTGGCATATGGGCCAGATACAGACTTCACGGCATGTTTTGTTCAGGCGGCTTGCGTTTTTTTTCTCGGCCCACGTGTCACCTATGCAAATACGAGATACGTATGCAACGTGTAGAGTCAAGACTGCTGTTTCAACCTTAGGAACCATATTGACCACGTATTTTCATGTACCGGGACCGTATTGAGCGCAAGTTCCAGGATCAAGTTGGACGTCGCCAACGACTACGAGGACTATAGATGCAATTATCTCGAGAATAAGTTGTCCTCTTCCCAGCTTATTTTAGAAGTCAGCCTAAAATTTATTTTAGAACCTATTAATTAAGAGTTAACTAGTAGGCTCCAAAAAAAATGGTTGAGATTCTAGAATAAGAACATCTCCAAAGCTGACGAGCAAACCGGACACTGCATCTGTCCGCGGACATGATAAACCAGTCCGCAAACACGAATGTGAGACCCGGTCATCGAATGCTATCTGCATACGTTTCAAAACGAATTCATACAAACCAAATGAAATTCATGCAAACCATCTTATTTTCATATGAATCAGATGAAAACATTTACATTTCGAAAATATTTTAACTAAATTATACCGGACTTCGGTAAAACTAGTCTAATGTCGGCCGGGGCGGATCTCCACTCTCACATGTCTTCCTATATCCGGCACCCCACTCGTCGGACTGCCGGTAGCCCCAGAGGGATATGCTTCAGAGGAAGGGGAAGAATACCCCCCCTCCGCCGCCACGAAGCACGAACCAAAGTTGGTTTTTGGGCGGGGAAAGATGGTCGACGTGGCCTACGCCCCCACGAAGAGGGCATGCCACTGGATGTGCAAACCGGCAATGCAATGGCGGTGGCCTTCATGGGACCCAAGCATCGGTGATCTCCCATGATCTACTTTTCCTCGCTGTTCGACGTAGCCGCGGACGTGCCAACCTCCATAGGCATGGCTTATTTCCCCATCTGCCTGATGCATTGCCGCCATTGCTCGCGGCGGAGTTGTCAGGAGACGGCTTTGGCCAGCTTGGACGGGCGAGGAGGGGATGGAGATCGATGTGGCGTCGGATCCAAAGGGTTTGCCGGTAAGCCAATCTGTATCGGGCTGGCTCGCCGGGCAACCCAGGCCGCTGCAATGCCGATGAGCTCCTTCTGTTCGTCGGAGGCCATGGCAGGTGTTGTACGAGGAGGAGACAGGGAGTGGAGGGGTGGTGTGGTTATAGCCCGACGCATGTCACATTTCTATAGCGGGCGGATGCGAGGAGCCAGCCGGAGAGGTGTTTAATGTCGGCCGACACAGGAACAGACGACGTGTGGCGCTCGGGGCATCGAAGTAGGTTCCTCGGCGCACACATCCGTTTAATGGAGGTAGGCGGGCAGACGGATGATGTTTCAATGCGGAGAGAAGACGTGTGCAACGGGTGAGCAACGGGCGGCGCTCTCCTCCGAGTCGCTTCAATGTGGGCTCCAGTGAGCGGTCATGTTCGCTTTGGGCTAGCATGAATGGGGATAACAGCTGGCTTCGGGGCGAGAACGCGTGCGGGTGCGGGTGAGGGGTTTTTGATGGGGCCAGATTAGTTAGACGCGGGCGTGGCAGTGGCGTTCGGACCGCTCGCTTTGGACAACTGCGGGCCGTTTGAGGGTGGGTGTTGGTGATACCCGAAGCTTGGGAGTGAATTGCAGAAAACATCGACATTGAAGGTTAGATTTGCAGAAACCACACTTCTACAGTTTTTGTGCCAAAAAACACTAATTCTAAGGCTAGTTTTTTTACAAAAAACACTAGTCGCCTGCTTAGGCCAGTTTGAGCATGATTATGACAGATGGGTCCCGCTAGACAGGGTGACGTGGCAAAAAAACTGTCAATTACATCCGGATATAATTTTATTTTGCAAAAGGACCCCTGAAAGAAAAGCAATCGGGTCCTCCATCTCCCAGCGGTCCGGTGGTGGACGCAGCGAGGCACAGGCAGGTCCGGCGTGGTCGGGGACAGGCAAGATGGCGAGGATCCGGCAGGAGCATGACTACGACGGGGCAACGGAGCTACAGCGGCAGTGGCTTGAGCAACGGGCGGCCATGGATGAGCTTGACGGCGTGGCTCCTGCCAGAGCACGACGACGGCGGAACGCATCAGATGGGAGAGATAGGGGAGGGCACCGGCGGCGGCGGAGCTCAGCGTAGAGGCCTCGAGGGTCTCCAGGCTGCGCAGTAGCGACGTGCAGGGGGAGAAGCAGTGGAGGTGCTGCTCGTGGCCCGGCGGCCTCGGCCAGCATGCCTGCGAGCTCGAGCGCGCCGGCGGCGGCAGAGCCCACCGTCTAGAGTTGCCGGTCTGTGCGGCAGCTAGGTGCAGCGGCAAGCGGTGGAGCTGCTGTTCGTGGCCCGGCGGCCTCGACCCACGCGCCTGCGAGCTCGAGCGCACCGTCGGCGGAGCTCGCTGCTGGTCCTACGGAAAGCTAATTCTCAGGCGGGGTCACGGGGATGCGGAGCTCTGTGCTCCTAACCTTATCCTCTTTATTTGTCTTTTTTTTTCTGCAAAAAAATGTCCTTTTCCTTTTAGCTTTTTTTGCAATTTAGTCTATGTGATTCTATCTATTTGCTATCCATTATGTTGTGTCACGTCACCCTGTTCAGCGGGACCCGCCTGTCATAATCATGCTCAAACCGGCCTAAGCCGGCGACTAGTGTTTTTTGCAAAAAATTATCTTCCAAATTAGTGGTTTTTGGCACAAAACTGTAGAAGTGTGGTTTTTGCAACCCTAGCCTTCAATGTCGATATTTTCTGCAATTCACTCGAAGCTTGGAGGGGACAACTTATTTACACAGCGTCGCATAAGCCCTAAAAAACTGGCCTAAACATCCCCCCCCCCAACA